TTTCCCATCTTCTCAGATTGCTGGCACTTGAATAAACTGCTTTCCTTCTCACCAGCACCAGCCTTACAAGTTTGGCTTTTATTGTAGCAGGCAGCTGAAGTTGCATTAGGTTACAATGACTCTTTGTATCAAGAATTTGGCCCTGGCCAGTTTGGCTCTGCAGTTAGAGCATTGGCCCATGGACCGAAGAGTCACAGGTTCAATTCCCAGTCAAGGGCACATACCTCGGTTGCAGGTTCGATCCTTGGCCCTGGTCAGGGTCATGTGGGAGATAGCCAATCGATGTGTCTCTCTCACACTAATGTTTCTATCTAAAAGTCAATGGAAAAATATCTTTGGATGAAGATTTTTTTAAAAAAAGATTTGGACAGACACAGTGGGATATGGCTTGTCTCTGTTCTACAGTGTCTGGGGCCTCCACTAGTAAGATTAGAAGGATGTGGGTCTGTCAACAGCTGGTGGCTAGAATCACCAATGGCTCATTCATTGCATATCTGGTGCCTGATCTGGGTTGATTTGAAGATGAGGACTGGAGGCCAGAGTGCCTGTACGTAGCCTCTTCTAGATGGTTTGGCTTTCTCACAACAAGGTAGTCAGACTTCCTATGTGGTGATTCAGGGCTCTAATTATGAGTTTTTCAGCTAACAAGGTAGAAGCTGCATCTCCTTTTATGACCAAGCATCAGAAATTTCTCAGCATCATTTCTGCTGCAACCTATGGTCTATAATCCATAATATATAAGGAGCCACTAGCCCACCGAATTCAAGAGTAAGAAAGCCATACACCATTTATTGGCACAGAAAACAAAAAGATTCTAGAAGAGCATACAGGATGGGAGATATTATTGTACTCATTTTTGGAAAATAAAATCTGCCACAGGTGTGCATATTAGAATTCATACTTCCCATGGGCCTGGGAACTTGCCAGCCATCCTAGGAAAACATAGTCTGAGCCCTCTGCGGAGGATGGAGCCAAAGAAACATGCCCCTGTATGTGCCCTACCTTAACATTCAGAGGACATCTCCCTCAAAGCCCAAAAGGGAGGAAATCTGTGGCTTGGAATAAATCCTCAGAAAGTCACTGATGAACATTCAGGGGACGTGTTACATTAGAGCTGGAGAGCAAGAGAGCTGGAAACTGCTAGGGAGTCTCATCACATCTGACACTGGTTAATGATGATGGTGGTGATAAGATATTTACTGAGTGCCTATTGGCACTTAAATATATCTTTCTCATTAATTCTCCAAAAGGAAATATAGAGCTTTAAATGCACATCTTAGAAAAGAAAAAAGATAGAAAATTAATGACCTAAAGATCTATCTTAATACATAGAAAGAAAGAAACACAGCACAATAAACTCAAAGACAGTAGAAGGAGGTAGAAACATGAAGAATAGAAATAGAAGAAACAGAAAACAAATGAGCAACAAAGAAGATCAGTCAAGCCAAAAGCCAATTCTTTGAAAACTGATAAATCTCTGATGATACTGAACAAGAAAAAGATGAAAGAAGACAAAAATAAACAATGTCAGGAATGAAAAGAGCGATATTGCTATGGTTACTTCAGGCATTAGGAAGAAAATAAAAGGATATTATGAATACATTTTGTACCAATAAAATCGAAGATATATGTGAAATAGACAAATTGCTTGAAATAGCTAATACTGACTCAATTTGAAATAGGAAATCTGAATAATCCTATAACCATTAAAGAAATTGAATCAGAAGTAAAATATCTTCCACAGAGGAAACATAGGCTTTACTAGAGAGTTCTTATTCTTTAAATATCCCATGAGAGAATTAGGATTCCTTTCTTCAAATGAGGGAACTAGAGCTCTGGGAGTTCAAGCAACTTGCCTAAGGGCCCAGAGCTGGTAAATACCAAAGCCAACATTTGAACCCTGGTTGGCCTGGCTCAAAGCCAGGGAGTTTAGCCATTGACATTCCACAGCCTCCTCTTGAAATGCTACCATATATATGGAGTGGAAGACAAGGCCTTGATGCCAAAAAAAAAAAGCATAAACAGATTCCAGATTTGCAGAGGCTGAAGGGAAGCTCTTTCTGTCCAGGGAAGCCCTAGAAACTACAAATCTGGTTATGTCCACACAGAGAAGGAACCTGGAGATTTGCCCCAGCACCCCCACCCCACCATCCTTCAAGACCTATTCAAATACCACCATACTTCTCTGTAGTGGTAACATTTGAGTAAGTCTTTCCCTAAGTCCTACCGTAAGTCTTATATCTCCCTCAACCTCCCTTAGATGCTCACAGGACTATATCTGGGCCTCTTTTCTATATTGTCTACTGTATATCATTCTCACTAATATTTTCCAACCTTGAAAATGCATGGCTCTCTAAGAATACAGACCCTAGTTTGAGAAACCTGCATTACAAATGTTGGTACTCTAGGTGAACACTAGGGCTTTAAAAATTGTAAGGCAGCGCTTATAGTCATCTAGAACACCTAGAGCATATTCTGTTTTTTAAAAAATGTATCTTTATTATTGAAAGTATTACAGATGTCCCCTCTTTTTCCCTCATCGACCCCCTCCACCTCGCTCCCATCCCCTCTTCTTTTTAAAATTGATTTTAGAAAGAGAGAAAAAGAGAGAGGGAAACATCAGTTTGTTGTTTCACTCATTTATGCATTCATTGGTTGATTCCTGTAAGTGCCCTGAGCGGGTATGGAACCAGCAACCTTGGCGTCTCAGGATGACACTCTAGCCAACTGAGCTAACTGGCTATGACCCCGGAGCATATTGTTGTTAAAAACCATTTTTAAGATTTGCACTAAAATAAAAACTAAAAATTTAAATATTCACATAGCAAACTTTGTAATCCCTGAAGATAGATTTTATCTTTGTAACAGGAACGAACTGTTCCATGATATAATGTAGGATTTCATTATCACTTTATATCAGAATTAAATCCAACTTAAGTTCTGTGGAACACTAGATTATTGTTCCATCTCTTCCCTCCCTCCTAGGTAATAGGATTATATGTCCACATTCTTTGCCAGGTAACTTTGGAGTTTCTTCCTATGGACAGAGTGTATCTCTCCATCCCTTGACTCTGGACTTGGCCATATGACTTGTTTTCACCGGTGGTATTTCGGCAGACTTGACATCAGCAGAAGCTTAAAATGGGCTTGTGCACTGGGGCTGTTACTCTTGTGCTCCTTTCATCTCTATGAGATAAACATTCCCTGACTAGCCTGCTGGTCCTGGAAAACAGAGTGAGACACATGGGGAACAAAGCCAACCACTCCAGCCAAAGCCAGCCTATAAAGTAATTAGCCCCCAGCTGGGCTCCAAACACATGAGCTAAATAAAAGCTTACTGTTGTGTGCACTGAAATATAGTAATTGTCATACAGCATTATTGTGGCCATTGTTAGCTGAAATAAGCCCCTTCTTAGATTTCCAGGTCCTCGGTTCATGTCAGTTGCCCCAGCTGTGCCCTCTGCCTGGGCTGGGCTGTGACATACATATGAAGGTGCAGGTTCTAAGGCAGCTCTTTCTCCTCTGTGAAATGCCCAGCCACAGTGACCTTTGCCAAGGATCCCAAAATTGTGGCCCTTTGTGCTCAGGCCTCACAGGCACACACTGCCCTCAGTGATTACCTAGGTTTGATTCTCAGGTCCATAACTTTGGGCAATTCATTTGCCTCATCTGTAAAATGGAAACAATAATATCACTTATTTCATAGGATTCTTGTGAGAAATAAGTGAATACATGTAAAGTGCTCAAGACAGTGCCCCGCATACAGTAAGTGTGAATGTTGCTGTATTTGGTCACCCAAATAGTCTTTTCAGGCCCTCTCATCTCAGAAGATCTGCAGTCATGTGAGCTCAGGTCTCTGCTCTGGTGGAATTCATACCTTCATTCTCTTTCTACTCTTGAGAGTTCAAACTAACTCTCCTGAGTTGGGCCCATTCCTCTTCAAACTGGGAAAAATTAAGCCTCCAATCCCAATTTCTTTAGGGAAGCCTGTATGGAAATTTCCCTCTGGGTTGTCTGCTGCTTGCAGCTTTTCCTTTCTACCCAGAAACATACAAATTCTCATGGGGATCAAGAAAGTCTAAACCTCTATCCCTGGCCAGTGTGGCTCAGTTGGTTGGAGTGTTGTCCCGATACACCAAGGTTGTAGGTTCGATCCCCGTCAGGGCAAATACAAGAAGCAACCAATGAATGCATAAATAAGTGGAACAACAAGTTGATGTCTCTCTCTCTCTCTCTCTCTCTCTCACTCACTCTCTAGAAATCTTTTTTTTTTAATTAATTTATTTTTGTTATAGATGTTTCTCCTTTTCCCCCATATCTAGAAATCTCTTAAAAAAGAAAAAGAAAAGCCTGTCCGGTGTGGCTCAGTGGTTGAGCATCGACCCATGCACCAAGAGGTCACCAGTTCAATTCCCAGTCAGGGCACATGCCCAGGTTGTGGGTCCGATCCCCAGTGGGGGGCATGCAGGAGGCAGCTACTCAATGTTCTCTCTCATCAATGTTTCTATGTCTCTCTCCCTCTCCCTCTTTCTCTCTCTCTCTCTAATATCAATAAAGAAACAATTTTATTTATTTTTTAAAATTCTTACCGAGGACATTTTTCGATATTTTGTTCAGATAGAGTGGGAGGGAGAGAGAGAGAGAAACATCGATGTGAAAGGGACACATCGAGTGGTTGTCATCCGCACGACCCAACCAGGACCGGGGACAAACTGCAACCGAGGTACGTGCCCTTAGCGGGAACCGAACCCCGGTCTCTCTGGACCGCAGGCCGATGCTCTAACCGCTGAGCCAAACCGGCCAGGGCTAAAGAAACAATTTTTAAAAAGAAAGAAAGTCCAAAGTCCAAACAACAAGGACACAAAGTCTAGCTTTTCCACCAGATGGGATGGGATGCCTTTCATTCCTTTGAGGTGAACCTGCAGCTGAGAAAAACTAGACAAGGTTATTTTCTCAATAATTCACCCTGCTACATCTAATTCTCAACAAATCTTCATTACTAGTGCTTACAGCTTCTTTTAAATTTGTCTAATAGGTCTTCCAGTTTTTACCAGAAGGACCTAAAAAACAAAACAAAACTTCGTTGCTAGACTGTGAATTTGTTGGCCATGTTTTATTCTCTGTGTACCTCTAGAGTTTAGTAGAGAACCCACACTTACTATGTGGGTGATAAATGCTAGGTAAATGAATGAAGGAAGGATATGGGTTACAGGACCAAGACAATTGTCAAACTATTGGTGGAGAAATAAACACAAGCATCCACTGTGTGCTCAGCCTCATACACTGAGGAAAAAGTACCAAGACATCTCCTTGAAGACTTAACTCTACAAAGGAAACAAAGATCAGCCACACAGATCACTTGCTCTGTCCCACATAAGTGAGAGGTCACTGAGGTGCTTGGTTCAGAAGTAGCTGTAGTTTTGATGTTGTACAAGAGGCTTAGGAAAGGAAAAGGCAGAATGTGGCCTAAGATTTTAAGGGCTGAGAAGAGTTCAGACGCTCAGCAGAGGGCTAGCATTTCATCGGGTGTTCAAGAACATCACGAGCAAAGGCATGACACAGGAATGAGTTTGCTATTTATGGAAAATAACAAGGACACCAGCCTGACCTGGCAGTAGAACTTGTGATAGGGAGTTATGGGAGATAAGCATGGCTACATCAGGCTATGACCTGAGTGTGGAGACATGGAAGTCAGGCTGGGTGTAGGTTTTTTTTGAGTCAGGCAACAAAGAACAGGTTCCTAAGACAAGGTGTGTGACAAGCATCCACTAGCGTCAGGAGGTCTCTTTCCTTTTCTTTCCGGGACTAGATGAGACTTGCATCCAAGCCAGAGATTGCAGACATGAGCCCACTGGAGGAGACAAACCCCTCAGCTCCTCTAAGAAAGTGGAGTTTGCATTGGTGAGAATGTTTGGTTGCAAACAACAGAAAAACTATAGCTAATTTAAACAAAAAATGATTATGTTAGAAAGAAATGGGGGTGGTTCACAGAATCAAAGAAAATACTGAAGAGGCTATTCCATAAGGGAGCTCGGGCTAAGGAATAATCTTTTCATGGTGTTGCCTTGGGGATAAATGAATTCCATTTTCATGTCATTCCATTCAAGATTCAAGGGAGAAAGACCATCTGATTGGCATAGCTTAGGTCACATGCCAACTCCTCAGCCAAGGAATTGAGGGAGTCTTCATTAATAGTCCATCAAGATTATAACTGCTGTAGTAGTAGTGCCTCAAGCCAAATTCCCAAAGCTGGTACAGGGGAAATAAATGCTAGACAGGCCAAAACAGTAGTCTTCTACTACAAGGTGTGTGCAGTGGTAAAATCTGGGGCCCAGTCAGTCTCGGATGCTGGGGAGAGAAGAAGGATAGAACAGTTGCCTAAACTGGTAGGTATATGTGATGGTTAATTTTCTGTGCCAACTTGACTGGGACATGGGATGCCCAGATATCTGGTTAAACATATTGCCACCCACATTGGTAAGGGCAATCTGCTTCACTTACTCTACCAATTCAAGTGCTAATTTCCTCCAGAAACACCCTCACAGATATACACAGAAATAATGTTTAAGGCATGCTTCCACTCTACCTCAAGTTTCTCCTTTAGGAACCTTCAGGGTGACCCAGGGTGAGAATTGAACCAGTGTGGAGGAAGGAACCAATTAAGGTTCAAGGTGGAAACCCAGGACAGCGTTGAACCCATGGAATTTAATAATTTAATAGTTCTAAGGGGGAAGAGAAAGGGCCTTAGCATTTCTAGGATAAGTCAAGCAGGAATAGGCCCTTTCTTAGTCTCTAGGATGCCGAGAGGGTCAGGGTGCTCCCCCAGCTTCCCCAGGCTCCTCAGATCAAAATGGAATTTCAGAGGAAAAGGGACAGAAGCCAGAGCCCAGGCAGGGGAGAAGCAGGGAGAAACCTCCTGCCTCATCTTGTTGAAAGAGACTCAAATGTGGCAAGGGTTTATTAGGAAAATGTAATTACCCAGCCTGCCTGTTCCGAAAGCCGTGCACAAGGAGAATGGGGCCATCTGGGACTCTTGATGCTAAACAGCAGAGGTAGAGGTAGACTCAGGACAAATGAAATTCTCCCCGAATGGTTGGGGCTTCCCCTGAGCCTGGCCCAGACCTGTCCCACCTCAGCCTGAGAGACAGTGTAGGTTCTGAGCACAGATGGCACAGGGACTTGTGAACTTTCTAGGATCTAGGTAGGGACAAGGTAGACCTAGGGGTGGATGACATCAGGAGAAGAAGATAAAAATGTTCTCTGCTTTGCTCAGTGCCGCAGGAAGCTGACCTGCATGGACTGTAACACCCTGGCTCCTCACCCTCAGCTCCCTGCTGGGTTGGCCAATGGGAGGCTCTGGCAGGTGACAATCTGCACTGCTGGACCTCAGTGTTGGCAGCAGCTGTATTCCTTTACAGAAGGCTGCAGTTCCTGTAGGACAAGGCTCTCCCACATACAGGTCTCCCCAGGTTCTGGCAACATCACTCCCTGCTTTACGTCTTTCCTTTCCAGCCAAGAACTAGTAAAGTCTTTCTTCTGTGGCTAGGCCCTGGGTGCCTCTGCATCCTTTGTTGCTTCCTGTAACCCAGCTGAGGAAATATTCCCTTCATTACCTTCTCTTCAACTTACCTTCTGAGTGTGCCATCTCTTCTGCAGGGTCCCTGCCAGGTACAGCCTCTTACCATGGCACAGCAGTGTGGAAGCCCTGTGTCACCCTGGCACCTTGGTGGGTGTCCCTCCCCAGGGCTCCTCAGATCAACCCACAACAATCAAGGAATCTCAATAAAGTGTTCTCTGGTATTTGGCAGGGCCCTTAAGAAGTTATTCTGTCACCTCCCTGCCTCTATACGTGGAGAACAGGAACAGGGCAGAAACTGGCTGGCCCAGGAAAGGCCATCAGCCAAGCAAAGTTCCCCTGGCCTCAGTTTCCCATGAGCATGGGACCTCTCCCCTTCAGCCTTGCCTCAGTTACTCCTGCTGTTTTCTCATTCTGTTCCTTATCCCTTCCATGGAGTCTTTACAGCAAGAAAGCTGGGTCCCCTTTATAATCTACCCCTAAACTTCAGCTGTCTTCCACTTACCTCCTCTTTTACCCAGAGATAATCCTTTTTTCTCCCATCCCCTTCAGAACATTGTGGGGGTGGGGGTGGGGGTGGGGAGCGGGGAGAAGATCCTTCTCTGAACCTTACACTCCCACCCCAGACCTTGGTTTACCCAGGAGGCAGCAGGCAGGGGGAGGCCTGTCTCAGACTGAAGACAAGACAGCGGCTCATTAACGAAGCTGGGAACTGAGGGAGGTGACTAATGGTGTCAGGAGCAGAGCCCGGCAGGAGCAGAGAAGTGAGCAACAGTATCAGAATTGGGTGTAGGAGAAAACAGAAGACAGAAGAGTCAGGGCCCAGAGCAGGCAGGGCTCTCACTCCCAACGGATTCTCTCAGGATAAAACAAAACCAGCCTGACCCTGTCCCTCCTGCAGCTGTCATCTTAGAAAAGAGAACTAATCTGTCACTTTGTGTGGAAGAAGAGGTGGCTGGGACATGGCTTGGAAGAAAAAGGGGTTCTATGGAAAGCAACCTCACAGAGTGATATGATCATAAATTCCTAACCGGGCAGCTCATGATGGGCAGTCAGGCTTCAGGCATATACCTTTTTTAGTGAAATATTTATCTTTGCCTTAAGGAAGCCCTGCCAATTATTTTTGTGCATCTAGGTTGACACACCTTTGAAATAAGCACAACCACCCTCAAGAGAGCACATAATCTTATTTAACCATCCTGTAATCCAATCCCCACCTTGCTTTCTCCCACCTCCATGTCATCTTCCTCATGTTCCCACCTTAACTTCAAATGCATAAAAGAAACAGCAGAACTGTCATTCTCCAGAGCATTTGAGATTTTGCTTCCTGTAATTGTCCTCAGTTGCGCTCAAATAAACTCATAAAAATTCTCTACAAATTTGGACTTTTCTTACGTCAACAAGGGAGCATTTGAGATTTTACTTCCTGGTAATTGTCCTCAGTTGGGCTCAAATAAACTCGTAAAAATTCTCTACAAATTTAGACATTTCTTACATCAAAGAATACATGCAAGGATGCTTATTCATTTATTTCACAAACATTTATTGAGTGTCTGCTACTTACTGAGGGCCAGAAGTGAATCAAACAGAATCCCTGCTCCAAAGGAGCTTACTTCCTGATGCATCTAGGATACAACTTTCCTGCCTGACTGGTGTGGCTCAGTGGTTAGGTGTCGACCCATACACTGAGAGGTTTGCCAGTTTGATTCCTGATCAGGACACATGCCCAGGTTGTGCGTCCGGTCCCCAGTGGAGGGCATGCAGGAGGCGGCCAGTTGGTGGTCTCTCTCATCGATGTTTCTATCTCTCTCTCCCTCTCCCTTTCTCTCTCTCTAAAATCAATAAAGAAAAAAATTTTTTTTTCAGTAAATAAAATACAAATTTCCTGTCCTGGCCAGTTTGGCTCAGCAGTTAGAGCCTCAGCCTGTGGACCAAAGGGTCTCAGGGTTGATTTCCAGTCAAAGGCACGTAGCTGGCTTGCAGGTTCAATCCCCTAACCCTGGTTGGGATTGTGCAGAAGGTCACCAATCGATGTGACTCTCTCACATTGATCTCTCTCTCTCTCTCTCTCTCTCTCTCTCTCTCCCCCTTCTCCCCCTCCCTCCCTTCCACTCTATCTGAAAGTCAACGGAAAAATATCCTCAGGTGAGAATTAACAAAAAAAACAACAAAAAAACCCTCCAAACCAAGGTCTCAGCTGGAGCTCTCCTTCCCAAGAGCACACCTGTGCCTCCACCCACCCTTCTTCCCCCACAGGCACGCATCTCCTAAACTCCAAGGGTCCCCACGAGACTAGTTACCAGGGCAGCAATGGGCAGTGGCAGTTCATCGCAGGCAAACCCCCAGGCCCCTTTTCCTTTGACTTCTCAGTGAGCCAAAGCAGACCAGCCTAGGCTCATTTCCCTGGCCAATTCTTGTTTTACTGTCCCCAGCTTTAATAAATGTCCTCTAAAATTCATCTGGGATCATGTTGTGAAACTTTTCCTGC